GTGTGTGTGTGTGTGTGTGTGTGTGTGTGTGTGTGTGTGTGTGTGTGCGCTTCTGTAGAGAAATGTTTTTCCAAGCCTTAGATCATCAAATTAGTCTCCGGTCTACTACAGCTCAATACCGTCTGCTCTCCCACGCCCAGGCCAGCAGCTCTGAGTCTTATCACCTCTTCACCTCTGTTTTCCTGTCTTCTTTATTCTCATCCCCTGTTTTCTTTTGTCCTTATTGAACCAGAAAAGCTTGACAAGGCTAACTCATACCAAATAGAAAAATGAGGTTTCATGTAATTCAGCTAAAGCCACAAGATTGTTTTTATCATGTCTTGACATTGGTAAAACGATAAATTAGCTGCAATTTAACTGAACAATTGTCAGTTCTTGTTCAATTTCAGCTCAAGTAAAAACACTCACATTGTCAAGAGAGGAAATGACTCAGCTTTGATTGGTTTTCTATTGAAGTCATTATTAAGAATAAAATTTGTCAATGTCCATCACCGGAACAAAGAGCATATATTCACAATGACCGGTGCACAAACAGCAAGATAATAAACGTACACTGCTCTCCAGATATCAAAGAAATGTCTGTTGCTTGCAGACTTTTTATTTGCCCAGAGACCTAACAATGGTAATCATCACCTCTGTCTTAGCTACACAACATGGTCAACATAGACTCCTCTCAGGAGGAAAACAAAACCAATCAAAAAGTGTGTGAAACCCTGGCAGGAGGCTGTTCTCTCCCAGCTGCAGGACTGCTTTGAAAAACCTGACTGGGACATATTCCAACAGCAGGGCATCCAGGACTTCACTGACTCCATCCTGTCCTACGTCAGGTTCAGTGCAGACCGGGTTGAGATAGACAAGAACATCTAGATTTACTCAAACCAGAAGCCCTGGATGACCAGTTAAGTCCAGGTGCTCCTGAAAGCCCACAACGCAGCCTTCAGGTCCAGGGACCAGGTCCAGTACAGTGCAGCCAGAGCAGACCTGAGGAGAGGAATCAAAGCTGCCAAGGCAGCCTACAAAAAGATGGTGGAGGATCACCTGCCTTGCAACAATCCACGTCAGGTGTGGCAGGGCATAAAACCACTCACCAATTACAACCCCTCTGTGACCGTCACTGTAGACACCTCACTGGCTGAAGAATATTTCTTTACCCACGTTAAGTCAACTTCACCTCATGCAGCCACACTGCCTCCACTGCCCCCACACCACACGAGCCCTCTCTCTACCCAGGAGATCTGTGTTCAGGTCTGTAAACGTGAGGTAGGCTACAGGGCTGGATGGAATCCCTGGCAGCATCCTGAAGGAATCTGAGCTCTCAGGGGCCTTTACAGAAATCTTTAATCTCTCCCTAGCACAAGCCTCTGCACCACCCTGGGGCAGGCGGGGGGCCACACCGAATGAACAATTACCATCAATWTTCTGAACTATGGCTGYGCTGGTTTGGGGTACTGGATTTTTCGGGCCCCCCTAAACTCACTTAAGGGCTCGACACACGGGCAGCAACAAACTACAGCGATTAGCGGCTGTCATCGCAGCCAGGGTGAAACCCGACACACTGGATGCGATAGCGATCGCAGCTTTGCGAATCGTGCTCTCAGATCGCTTGTCTTCACAAAATTTGATTGGTTCTTGACTCTGAAGGCGCGTGTGCATTACGGACGTGTAAACTAAACAAATCTTGCGATGCTAATGATATTGAAAAACAAACACACATCAAGATACAATTTTATGAGGAAAAACTTACCATAAACTTCACCCTGGTGCCAATAAATTCCCACAAAGCTTTTTAGTAATCACTTGGTGAAAGTGTTAGCTAACGGCAGTGTGTAGCATACTCTCCTCTCATTGGTCAGTCAATGAAACCCTCGCTGATTGGTTGTACGCTAAGCGACAGCGACAAAAGTTGAACATTTTTCAACTTTCATATGTCGCGTCGCAAGCTCGCGTGTGCACGTCTACGTGTACGAGCGTGAAATTTCACATGCACTATTTTCGCCGGTCGCTTGGCTGGAGGAGGGCAAGCGATTGTCGCCTCACYGCACAGGCTCCATAGGAAATGAATGGAGAGCGAGCGACGTCGCC